CAGCATCATCATCATCATCACTATCATCTCATCATCATCATCGTCATCGTCATCAGCAGAAGCAGCAGCAGTAGCATCATCATCAGCGTCATCAGCATCATCATCATCGTCGTCGTCTTCATTTTCAGCATAGTCATCATCACCACCACCATCACTAGCACAAACAGCATGATCATTAGCATCATCAACATAATCAGCATCATCATTATCATCATCAGCATCATAATCATCATCATGATCCTCAACATCATCATCAGCATCATCAGTATCATCATCAGCATCATCATCAGCATCATCAACATAATCAGCATCATCAACAGTAGCAGCAGCAATGGCATCATCAGCATCATCACCTTCATCAGAAACAACAACCGTCATCATCATCATCATCAACAACATCAGCATCATCAGCATCATCCGCAGCATCATCGTCCAAATAATCAGCATCATCATCATCATCATCATCATCAGAATCATCATCATCATCATCGAAATAATCGCCAGCAACATCATCAGCAGCATCATCGTCGTCGAAACCGTCGTCGTTCATCATCATAATCCTCCTCCGCCTCCTCCTCCTCATCCTCCTGCTAATCCTGGTCCTGCTCCTAATCATCGTCGTATGCATCACCAGCATCATCATCATCATCATCATCATCAGCAGCATCAGCATAAGCAGCATCATCATCACCACCTGTGACCATCATCGTCATCATCGTCGACACCATCATCGTCATTATCATCATCAACATCATCATCATCGCCAGCATCATCATCATCATCATCGTCATCAGCATCATCATCATCGTCGTCATCATCCTCCTCCTCACCATCATCATCGTCATCATCAGCAGCAGCATCATCCTCGTCATCATCATCATCATCATCATCGTCATCATCATCAGCAGCAGCATCATCAGCAGCATCAGCATCAGCATCAGCATCATTATCAGCAGCAAGAGCAGCAGCAGAAGCATCATCGTCACCAGCGTCACCACCACCACAATCACCACCATCATCATCGTCAGCAGCATCATCGTCGTCGCAATCGTCATCGTCATCGTCGGCGTCGTCATCGTCATCGTCGTCGTCATCATCAGCAGCATCATCACCAATATCAGCATCAGCATCATCATCCTCATCATCATCATTATCAGCAGCAGCAGCAGCAGCGTCATCAGCATCATCATCATGATCATCAGCATCAGCATCATCATCGTCATCAGCATCAGCATTATCATTCTCTCCTGTCGATATCCACTCTTCCAGTTTTGGGCAATACACGCAACCCTCAGTTCACTCCTCATCCTCCTTATCCTCATCTTTTCTTTGGCCACTGTCTGTTTTTGGCGGTGGCCCTTCCACGGGGAGGAGGCGCCGTCCTCCCTGGTGTACGTCTTGGCAGGCGCGTTGATGTTAAAACATCCTCCACATCCTCCTCCTCCTCCTCGCCCTCGTATTCCTCCTCCTCCTACTATTCCTCCTCATCCTCTTTCTCCTCCTCTCTGCCCGCCTCGTCCTCCTCCTCTTTCTGCTCGTCCTCCTCCTCCTCCTCTTCCTCCTCCTCCTCCTCCTCCTGCTCTTCCTCCTCCTCCGCCTCCTCCTCATCATCATCATCCTCCTCCTCCTCCTCCTCCTTTCTCCTCCTCCTCCTCCTCCTCCTCCTCCTCTTCCTCTCCTCCTCCTTCTCTCTCCTCCTCCTCCTCCTCCTCCTCCTGGCACCTGTGTCACTGGGATCTGTCCCCAGGAAAACAGGCGGGTAGCCTCCCGTTCGTCACCCCAAGTGCTCCTTCGGGACCCTGGGGGAGAGAAAAAAGGTAATCGTAGGCCGTCCCTGCCGCCGCTGCCGCCGCCGCCGCCTCCCGCTTCTCTACACTCTTTCTGCTGCCAGCCATCCGTGCATCGGGCCTCCGCTCAAGACCAGGGGCTCCGAGCGAGCGAGGGGGCGAGGGCTCGACGCCAGGCTCGAAGACGGAGGAAGGGCGGCGGAGCGAGGAGCAGGGGCCGGCTCGGCCGCGGGCTTCTGCCAGGACGGCGGGTGCCCCAGGCAGGAACGACAGCAGAAGTCAGGCCCGGGCGGCCGCGCCCGCAGGACGGGGCAGGGCACCGCCGCGTCAGCCGCCCTCCGGGGCGCAGCCCTCGCAAAGGTCGGCGTCCTCGCAGCTCACACGCCCGCAGTCGGGGCACATCCACCTGCCGGCCGCCCCTGGCGGCCGCTGCCCGCGCTGGCGGGCAGCGCCAGCCCTGCCCGCGGCGCGCGAGGCTGGCCCACCCGCAGGGGCCTCTGCTGCTCGGCCGCGGCCGGGCGGCCCGAGCCCACCCGCCCGCGGCTCCGCGACGCCCCCACCCCCGAGCCAGAAGAGCGAGGCCCTTCCTGGCGCGGCGGGGCGAGAGAGCTCCTCGTCGCGGAGCGCCTCCGATAGGGCGCGCTCGAACCGCAGTATCGCGAGCAGGTACGAGCCCGCCGGCCCGAGCCCGGCAGAGGCCGCCGCCCGGGCGGCGAAGCGCAGCGTCAGGGGCAGCTGCAGCCCCGGCGCGCTCCCCCGCAGCTCGGGCACGGGGCGCCCCAGCAGCGGCCCCTGCGGCAGCAGCTGCTGCCCGCGGAGCAGCGGGCTCTGCCTGGGCAGGCGCACGTCCTCGAGCAGGCGCAGGTGCTCGTCCAGCCCGCGAAGCAGAGCGTCCAGCTCCTCCTGGCGATCGCAGCGGACCTCGTCTGGCGCCAGCGGCTCGTCCACGGGGCTCGGCCAGGGCGCCAGGGGCGCCCAGCGGCCGTGCTCCGCCTCCCGGACAGGACCACGGCGCACCAGCAGACGAGGCGGCGGCAGGGCCCGGACACCCCCGCCGTCTGCCAGGTCCACGTGGTAGCGCCCAGACACGCGGTCGTAGGCCACGACGGTGCCTTGCCTGCCGTTGAGCTCGGGGAAGTGCCGCAGTCCCCTCAGCTCCACCTCGGTGCCTGGCGCGAGCAGCACCTCCTCGGGCGGGACGCGGGTGACCTCTGTCGAGAGCTCGACGCTGCGGGGGCCACTGCATACGTTGCACTTCTCACGGCGCCTCCGGTTCACCTCCCCGCACCCCGCGCACGTCCAGTACGGCACTGGAACGCCACGCACCGTGTACAGCCCCGCCACCTCGTCCCACTCCACCACCTCGACCATCCTGCCGCTGAGCAGCTCCACGCGCGTCCCCGCGCCGACGGTCGGCAGCCTTCCCGCCAGGGCCCTGACCGGGGCCCTCCGGGCCCTGGCTGGCTGCGACACCTTGGGCACGCTGGCCTCCTCGGAGTGCCGCGCGTGCTCATCGGCAGCGGCGCCGAGGCGCATAGGACAAGCGCTCACGAAGATAAAGTCGAAGCTCGCCTGGAAGTCCCCCCACGCCATCCAGAATGCGCCGTCGTCGAGGAAGTTGGGCCGGAGCCTGGCGCGCACCGACGGGTTGCGCTCCCACGCCTCGTCGCCATCGCACCAGCGCCCGTTCCAGCGCTTGTCGTTGCCCCAAGGGTTCCGCAGGAAGACCAGGCGGAAGCCCTGGAACTCAACGACGCGCAGCAGGGAGTAGGCGTGCCCCTCCACTAGCCCGTCCACGCGGACGTGTTCGGCGCCGTGGCGAGCGCTGAGGGCGCAGGCGACCAGGAAGCTGCGCCGATCGTAGCCCCGCAGTTCTGGCCACAGGCCGTCCGAGTCGCGCCGCTCCTCGGAGCCGGGCTGGAACTCGAAGTGGTCCTCCCCGAGGGCCAGCTGAACCCTTTTCCACTCGCCGTCAACGCGCGCCGACTCGCCAGCGGATCGGGCCCAGGCGAATGTGTCGCGCTCTCCAGTGAAGGCCCGGAAGGCAATGCAGCAGTTGCCTCCAGACAGCTGCCGGTAGGAGCCCAACATCTTCGCGAAGGCCTTCTCAACCAGCAGCACCCAGCTCTCATTGCCGTGTGGCCGGGCAAAGAGCGGAGTGCCCTCGTCGTCCCACCATTCGCGCTCGTGGCAGGGGATGAACTCGTCCACGGAGATGGTCGTCGGCTGGCAGCGCTTGTCGAAGAGCTGCAGTACCATCTCGCCGCTGGGAATGAGCTCCTCCGAGTGGAACATCTTTCTCACGGCGTCGGGGAACTCGGCGAGGCAGGCCAGGGCAGCCACCAGCCAGCAGTTACCGATGCTGCCCTGGAGCAAATCATCGGGAGTGATGCCCCCGTCGAAGAGGGCCATCTTTCCTGGGCGAAGAAATCTCACAGGCACCCACTCGACGGGAGGGAGCTTGGGCACATGCCCGATGGACCTCGCTTCTGGCGGAAATTCCTCGTCGACAAAGAGGGACTCCCGCTGCTCCTCCCTCCGCAAGAGCGCGGCGTCCTGCACACGCCTTACGTGGGCGTCTGGCCATCGGGCCAAGTTCGGCAGCTCCGCGTCTGCTTCCGACGAGAAGAACACTGTCAGCCGCTGGGTCTCGCTGGACGGGAGGCCTGGGCCAAAGTGCCACCGTGGACCTGGCAGCAGCAGGAGGAAGGAAGAGAGGAGGACCCAGACCTCCGACGACTCGACTCTTCCGAGCCCGTCGGCCCCCAGAACCCCGCGACCCCTTCCCCCGGGCCGGCTTTTCGCCCCGAGCAGCTGCTGGACGGCCCCCGCGGGGCCCGAAAAGGGGCTGAAGCCGCCTCGATGTCTCTCGTGGCGACGCACGGCTGGGGGAGGAGGAGGAGGAGGAGGAGGAGGAGGAGGAGGAGGAGGAGGAGGAGGAGGAGGAGGAGCAGAGGGAGAGGGAGGAGGAGGAGGAGGAGGAGGAGGAGGAGGAGGAGGAGGAGGAGGGCCACCGCGGACCCGACCCCACCAGCTCGGCGCGGAACACCCAGGTGTCGCCTTGGACCCTGCGGAAGGCCGCCCGGCCGCCGTGGGAGCCGAGCTCCTCGTAGCCGCCACGGCTCGGCAGCGCGCCGAGGGGGGGGGTAGGCAGACAGATTTCGTCACGTGAGGCGAAGTTCCCCCCCTCCCCACCGAACCCCCCTCCTCGCGCTCCTCTTTATCTCTCCCATGCTCCTGCTGCTCTCCGATTCGCATCACGCGACGGATCCAAGTCGCCGAGGGGGGGGGCGCCAGGGGGGCGGCCTTCTCGAAAAGGCAGGGGGCGTCCTTCTGCGGCAACTCGTGGGGGCCTCAGATACCATCGTGCTGGCTCTTGCGAGCCGACGCTAATTGGCGCTGAATCTGTGCTAGCTCATCGGTTACCAGACGCTAATCGACGCCCGTCGACGCTGAAGACGAAATCGAGAGTGTATCTAAGGCTCCCAAGACGTGCTACCGCAGGAGTCCTGTACGGCAGCTTCGTGACGTGATGACCTGGGCGTCGGGTTTCTGACTCCGCGGTGGACCGTTAAACCTTGAGCGAGCGCGGCTTACCGATAGCGCAGGTCGCTCGATATCGGACGATTCTGGACCACGGGCGGCGTTCAACCTTGAACGTCCGCGCTGGGGTCGCCGCCGCGTCAACACGACAGGAACCTGCCCGCACGCAGAAGGCGTCTGTCGACCACCACCACTGAGGGGCAACGATACGGGGGGACTGGCATGGAGGGGAATGCATCGACCTGGAATCGGCGATACGTCGCCGATGGATCGGCGGTAGGCCTCCGATAGCGAGTCCGCACTCCTGGGCAGGTCAGGGCTATCGGGCCCCTATCGGCGATCAAAAGGCAATTGGGGCTCGATACAGTCCCCCCTATCGTTGCCCCCGAACCATGCCTGGCCAGGGCAATCCTGGGCCCCAGTGCGTTCTGTGCACCCTGCGGAGCTCGGCCAGGAGGGCCTCCACAGACCGACGGAAGCCGACAGGCCGCAAGCGGCCCAGCAAGAAGCGCACAGCGACGCGGCAACGACACGATGGCCGACCGAAACGGAAACGACCCTACGCGGCCGACTGCGAGGCAGCCGCACCGACCCAACCGTGGACACCCTTGCTCGCGCCACCCCCCCACCCCGCGCTCGCGGCCGGATGGATGTTCATGTACGCGCTCTTCACGGACAGCCGCATCTCTGGCGAACACGCCCGAGGTTTGAGGCCTCCTGAATGGGGTCCGAGCAGATGGGGTCGGAGGATCGCGCCGCATGGGCGATGCATCGCCCGCGCGTCGGCGATGGCGAGGTCGGCGTGAAGAAAATCGGGCTCCACGTCGAGGCGCAACGGCGACGAGGCGCGATCCTCCGGCCCCATCTGATCGGACCCCCGTGGGGCACCGCGCCGGCGCGCGCGGGCGAGGCGGGCGCGCTCCGCAGCGACCGGAGCGCCACGCCGCGCGCCACAGGCCGCCGGGGCGCCCTGCCGCGACGCATCTGCGAGCGGGGCCGGGCCCGATGTGGGTGCGCCGGAGAGGAGGGCCCCAGGGAGGGGGGAGTCCAGTGCATCGTGACCCGCGGCCAGACCTCGAAATGCAAACGGCGGCGGTAGGGGGGGCCTCTGCCTGCGGGGAGCAGGCTACTGGAGCAACATGGGCGCAATCTGCGGCACTCGCCTGCGAAGGGAAACGGCACGGGCACAGGCCGCCGCTTGCCGCCCCAAGCCCCGAAGCCACGACTGAGAGCATGCTCGCCCACTACATCATCCTCGGGCCGCCTCCCTCCTCCCTCATCACCACAACCGTCATCATCGTCGACATCGCAATCGCCATCACCATCGTCAGCATCATATCCGTCTTCTTCTTCCTCCTCCTCCTCCTCCTCCTCCACATCCTCCTCCTCCTCCTCATTCTCCTCCACCTCCTCCTCATCCTCTTCCTCCTCTTCCTCCTCCTCCTTCTCCTGCCCCTCCTCCTCACCATCACTATCACTATCACCATCACCATTACCGTCACGGTCACCATCACCATCACCATCATCATCATCAGCATCATCATCATCATCATCATCATCATCATCAGCAGCAGCAGCAGCAGCAGCAGCATCAGCAGCAGCAGCATCAGCAGCAGCAGCAGCCATCCTCCTCCTCCTCCTCCTCCTCGTCCTCCTCCTCCTCATCATCATCAGCAGCAACATCATCATCAGCAGCAGCATCATCCTCGTCCTCATCCTTATCCTCATCCTCATCCTCATCCTCATCATCAGCATCAGCAGCATCAGCAGCATCCTCAGCATCATCAGCATCATCAACATCATCATCGTCATCATCCGCATCACCATCATCATCATCATCATCATCATCATCATCATCATCATCATCATCATCATCATCATCATCATCACATCCTCATCATCATTGTCATCGTCACCGTCATCGTCATCGTCATCAGCATCATCAGCATCAGCAGCATCATCAGCATAATCATCACCATTCTCATCATCAGCATCACCATCAGCATCATCATGATCATCGTCATCATCATCGTCATCGGCCGCGTCAGCGTCATCATCGTCAGCGTTGTCGTCGTCGTCGTCGTCCGTCGTTGTCGTCTCCGTCGTCGTCCGTCGCCGTCTCGTCGAGATCAGTATCAGCAGCATCATCCCCTCTCCCCCGTTGATTCCTCTTGCTCCTCATCGATGTCCTCGCGTTCTTCATCAAATGCCTCCTTATCATACCTATGCGACCACCCTTCGGGTGATATGCAGGTTCGGTGGGGAGGGGAACCAACGTCTCACACAATCGATCTCACCTCGATCAAACTCTCGATCTCACAACAGACATAACTATTGATCTCACAATCAATCTCACTATCGATCTCACATCAGATCCACCCTGTCGATCTCGCAATCGATTTCTCACGATCGACCTCACCATCGATATCACTATCGATCTCACAACAAATCTCACTATCGCTCTCCCAATCGATCCCACGATCGATCTGACATTCGAACTCACTATCGATCTCGCATCCGAGCTCACGAAGCATCTCACAACAGTTCTCACAATCCATCTCACTATCGAGGTCACAATCGATCTCACCATCGATCTCACTATCGGTCTCACAATCGATCTCACAATCGATCTCACAGTGGATCTCACAATCGATATCACTGTCGATCCCAGTATAGATCTCACGAGCGATCTCACCATCGATCTCAAGATCGATCTCACGACAGAACACTCGATCGATCTCACACCAAAACCGCCGACCCTGTCGGCGTACGTGAGGGGTCTGTCTGGTCCCGTCGACGGGATGCCTTTTCTGTTTACCCTTCCCCGTCGGGAGGGAGAGAGTACTCTCCCGTCGTGGGGGGAAGGAGTCCGGGGATTGAGGGAAATCGACCCACGTCGCAGTCACGTCAAAGGGGGGAGGTCCCCAGGAGGGGGGGGGCGTCAGATTCGCATCGCCCCCTCTCCCACGTCGGTTCTCCTCCAGTCCTCCCTCCTCGCCTCCTCCTCCTCCTCCTCCTCCTCCTCCTCCTCCTCCTCCCCCTCCTGGTCGTCGTCGATGTCTTTCAGGGTCGGCGGCACCGGCCGTCAGGCCTTCACGATCTCACTATCGATCTCACAATCGATCTCACTCTAGATCTCAAGAGCGAACTCAAGATCGATCTCACAACAGATCGTACTATCGATCTCCCAATCGATGTCGCCATCAATTTGACAATCGAAAACACTATCGATCTTAAAATCGAACTCACAATCGATCTCACATTCCGACCCACTACCGATGTCACATCGGATCTCACTATCGATATCACCATCGATCTCGCTATCATGATCTCGAGCGATCGCACGATCGAACTCCCAACAGATCTTATTATCGATCCACCAATCGATCACACCATCGATCTGACAATCGAACTAACTATCGAGTTATCACTATCGGTCTCACGATCGATCTCACAATCGATCACACCATTGATCGCACTATCGGTCTCACAATCGATCTCGCAATCGATCTTACAGTGGATCTCACAATGAATATGACTGTCGATCCCAGTACAGATCCCACGACAGATCTCACCATTGATATCACAATCGATCTCACAATCGATCTCACAACAGATCTTATTATCAATCTCACAACAGATCCCACTATCGATCTCACAAGCGCTCTCACTATCGATCTCACATCAGATCCACCCATCGATCTCGCTATCGATCTCACCATCGATTTGATCATCGCGGTCACAACAAATCTCACAAGCGATCTCACAAGCGATCTCACAACAAATCTTACTGTCGATCTCCTAATCGATCTGACCAACGATCTGACAATCGAACTCACTATCGATCTCGCATCCGGACTCACTAAGAATCTCACAACAGTTCTCACTATCGATCTCACAATCGATCTCCCAATCGATCTCACGATCGATCTCAGTATCGATCTCACTGTCGATCACACCATGAACTCACGAGCGATCTCACCATCGATCTCACAACAGATCCCACTATCGATCTCACAACAGATCTCAGTATCGATCTCACAACAGATCTCACGATCGATCTCAGAGCAACTCTCACTATCGATCTCAAAACAGATCTCACTATCGATCTCATCGCGGCGCCACCGACGGGACACCGACGGGACACCGCCGCGCCACCGACGGAACACCCAGGGCCACCGCGCGCCGCGGGGGGGGGGCGGACAAGCGGCTTCAAAGCCCCCAGCCACCGCGACATCATTCCTCTCGCGGACCCTCGCAGCTTCGCCTCGCCCGTATTCACGACACTGACACGAAACCGAAATCGATTTCCCGCTGGGGGGCTCTCCGTTCCACTGCGATCTCACCCCCTCACCTCCGACGTATTCGTCCACCTTGTAATCCTAATTGCCCCTCCTCCTCCAGGACCTCGACCCCATCCTCCTCGTCAATGCCACAACAATACACGTACTACGACTGCCTCGAAGAATGATAGCAGTATTCATAATGATAATACGGCTACGACTACTACTACTACTACTACTACTACTAATACTACTACTACTACTACTACTACTACTACTACTACTACTACTACTACTACTACTACTACTACTACTACTACTACTACGACAACTTGTACTGCTACGACTACTACTACTACTACTGAGACTACGACGACTACTACTACG